GCTGCCCACTGTTCCCTTGAGGGATGGGTTAAATGCAGAGATGAATTTTGAATGAATGAATTTTTCAACATGTATGTGTACGTGACAATAAAAGTATCTTCTTCTTCTTCTAAAAAGAAAATAAGGTGTTTTGGAGTTAGAAAGAAGTGAAGCTGATTACACCCGAATCCTGACTGCTGTAATGTGGCACCTGTTTGACAATAAAGAAGAAGCAATGGAATAAAAAAGATGGTGGATTTGAATGGTTCATTGGAAAATGGGATTTCCTCACGGGATTTGTTTTCGACATACATATAAACAAATTCAAGTGCAGCAAAGAACCTCTTGTCAATGTGCCTTTCTTTTGTATTAATTTTATTGTTGTCTTTTCCTATTGTTATTAGCCTATAATTCATTTATTGTTAATATTCTACACCATGATTTGTAATATTATGCCTTTTAGCAGTTTACTACTCAGCCTGTGAAAACAGCTGTTTAATGTCTTCTGTGTGCTCTGAAGGGGAACATAGGGAATTTAGGAGGTAAGGGAGTTTAATGAAATATGTTATCCAACTGTATTGTGGGTTTTTGGAGTAAAAGTCAAAATTTCTCAACCTCTGCTGCTTCAATGTTGAACTTCTTTTTAAAATATTTCTTTTGTAAGTCCCACAACTTTATGAAAGTGCAACCCTAAATTGCTGGAGTAGCCTACCCCTTTAAATGGCAAAAAAACTAACAAAATAAATCATTCCACTGAGCCCTCTGATTTGTTTAGTTCCTCCTTTTTCTAAAAACCCATAATTCACTTTTCTTGCTGTAAAAACATTGATATAATGCTCAAGTGACATAGTGAATACCAGGAGGACCTATTTATATGGCAAGTTGCCTACATTAAATGAAAGGCACAGCAGTCTATCACTCACATTACATACTGCTTAAATAAATGGCTATAATGTTCTACTTTTGAATGGCGCTAATAAAAAGGGATGTGTGATTATGCAATTTATCAGTTTTATTTCAACATAACATCAAACATGCTACCGATGATGCCACATAGCGTAAGTAATGTAAATAATTACTCTTGACTTTTGGTTCTTGCATGATAGCTTTCCCTCACTTGTCCTGCAGCTTCTAATGAAGATTAACACGAGCATTTACCTACAGAAAATCGGCTCTGGTGCTCAGAAGGCCTCCTGTAGATCTCATAAAGAAGCAACACATGAACCAACACACAAATACGTGGAAATGTAGAGTGTCGTGCAAATAGAATTAAAATTACAAACTAAATTAAACTAATATAATTAAACCAAATTAAATTAACTTACTTTCAAATACTCGTTCTCCGACCTCAAATCCTCCACCTCCCTGACAAGGTCTTCGGTTGTCTCCCCCCATCATGAGATCTACAAACGCCCCTGAAGAGTTAAACAGACTGAGACCCCCTCCAGCAGCATCCGGCTGGGGGGCGCAAGTATCTCTCGCTGCCTTCGCGCACGCTTTGCCCTCGCTGTCCGGGCTCACACACGCGATCCCGTCTATCCAGCTTAATTCATTGTCGCAGCTCCGAGAGTCGTGCTTGTTGCCCTCCGAGGGGCAATCGGATATTTCTGAGCTGCTGTCTGACGAGGAGAGTTTCCCAGAGACGCAGCCGGAGTCTTTGCTCAGGTCCTCTGAAGCGTTGCTGGCGTCGGACAGCTTCCTCTGCGCGGCGGGGCTCCTCTGGCTCTCCACCGTGGCACTTGATGACATTTTCCCCGGTCGTTTTCCCTGCGGTCCCGCCGATTTCAGCTCCTGACTGGACTGTGAGTCTTTGGAGAAGGAGCCACTTTGGGCCCCTTTAGGAGACGGATCTTTCTTCTTCTTCTGGGCGGATACCGGCTGATGCGCCTTGTGTTGTTTCTGGCTCCGGAGCGCAGTCTTTGTGCTTTTGTCTCCGTCTCGGTTCATCTTTCTCTTAACGTTTTCAGCTGTGCAGCTTATTTTTTCAGTTCAAGATGATCACGATGTTTAGGCTACACAGATAGGTTTAAAAGCACTGATTTCCGCAGCTCACTGAATAGATCCGACTGGTTGCTTTTCATCCTGAAGACTGAAACTTGGCCAAAATGCAGAGGATAGAGTGAGCAGCTGGGTCAGACTAGTTTGTCAACGACTTCCGGTCACCATTTCCAAAATAAATCCTTTCATTGACCTTTGACGAAAATGCTCTGCAGTTTCTTTTTCTCTTTTCAGCCAAGTAACATATATATATATTGTTTTTTTACCAATTTTCAGCTTTAAAGACAAATTGCATCAAATGTTTGTTAAACATCCATCGTCAACTGCTTATCCTGCGTACAGGGTCGCGGGGATATGTTAAACATATCCCACAATATTAAATTATGCTAAAATAGCAATAATTCAGAAGAATTAACAGACTTAAACTGATTTCTTTTTTGATTTTATGCCAACATTTCTTTCAACAGTTCACATCTCCCCATCGAGGCGCGAGTTCCACATTTTAAGCTTTTACTTTTTAAAGTCACCACTTTCTTCGGTCTCATGTGACTCTGGGTGACTTTACACAGTTAAGTTTCCACTTTCTCCTTTGGAAAGCTGACAAATAATTAAACAGGTAATTTGCCATTTACCCTATAGTATTTAACCATGTATTTACACAATCAGCACCTTTATTAAATATTTAGGTCACTTGGCTGATGTTAAAAAAGTCAAAAACGTTTTTCTCTCTGCCTTAACAGACTCTGACATATCCATATATGTCAGTTCAGATACGATATTTGCTAGGTTTTAGATATAGCCTACAGATAGATATCCTCTCTCAAATTGATTTTTGGAATAAATCTGGAAATTCTGAGGAGGCCTAAATTTTAGGGTTAACTGATCACAGGTATAAAGCTGCCACCTTGTGGCATTTAGTAGCACCACTGGAGGAACTTCATGCAGCATCCCATGTTTTCAGTTTCAGCCAATTCATCAGACAATAAACAGCTATTTAAATCATACTGTAAATTAAAACAGACACAACTACAACACAAATTCTGCAAGGTGACTTTTGTGTTGTGAATGGATCACGTGGTGCATCACAGGTTTTTATCACATTTGTTAAATGGCCTCTTGTTGTCTGCAGAGATACATTTGAACACAGACCTCAAACACCAACCATTGGTGGAAGAAGTAGGCTACTTAACAGTAAAAGAGTACCACAGTGTGGAAATACTCCGTTACAAGAACAGATCCTGCATTCAAAATAAAAATATTAAAACAAAAATCGTTACTGGTTACCATCAAAAGAAAGCACTCATTATGTAAAATGAATAATGTATGTTGTATTATTAGATAAGTATTAGTGCATTATTATGTGCATCACTTTAATGTTGCTACTGGCAAAGGTGGGGTTTATTTTTTTTCCTATATATGTACTGCTGGGAAGCTTTCACATTTCACCAAAGTCTTATCTTTATCCATAATACTACATTATGATTTACTTGTTGATTATATTTTGTAGTATTAACCTGACACTAAGTAAATAAGTATCTAAAGATGTCAAATAAATGTAGTTGAGGAAAAGTACAATATTTCCTTCTGAATTATAATGGAGTAGAAATATAAAGCAGAAAAGGGAAATACTTGAATAAAGTAGTATAGTATAAGTATAGTAGTTGGGTACATGTACTTTTTTTCACCATCATTCCAGGTTAGAGTATAATTCAGGTCATTTATAAAAACATTTATTGCAGCAATCTTCCTCGTCAACGCCGTTTATCCTGCCCACTCATTGGACACAATGGTCAATGCTCAACGTGTTGTCCATCAAGACATCCATCCATCATAGCTAAACAGTAAAGAACAGGGACACAAAGTCAGAATATCTGTCAAGAAAGTCAAGAAAGGTAGAATTAACATGGGGGTAAAATATCCTGTCTGTCATCATAATCTGTCATACATTATTTTCTTTACCATGAAGTGCAACTACACAATAATAAAGGGGTAGGCTACATGTTATTTTGTAAATGTAAAAGGAGCTTTAGGTCCTTAAAAACACATCCATAAATTCCACTGAAAAAACTTATATATCTAGCAATAATAATCCATTCTCTCAAAATCTGAAAAATAATTTTATTTTTGTATTATTTGTAAGTGTCTGGTGTAATTTGCCTCACTGCAGTCCTGAATTGTTTTACTTTGTAACTTTGATGATGATGATGATGATGATGATGATGATGATATTATTATTATTATTATTATTATTATTGTTATTCGTTTGGAGATAGATACAGCTAGATTTGAAAGTATTCTCCCTTCAAAGCCATTACCAAAAACACATGTTCGGGCTGAGTGACTGCATGGTCATACACTGTAGGCTACACAGCAGATTCATCATTGACCATATTTATAGCGATTTCGCAGTAATGTGGAAGAATGTGGTATTTTCTTTTATAAAAATCAAAATAAAGAAATTAAGTACTTTAAAATAAATGTTTAATTATAATGGCAAAATCCCATATTCATAAATGTAAATTCAGCAGTAAAAAAAACTAACTTTGTACTTTCTTCTATATCCTATATCCAACAACAAATGGCTGAGAAAACTGTCAACATGGTCCTCGTTTAATATCTTTATGTTATATAGGCTACCCCTGCCATAGTTTTAGTATATACTATTTGTGTGATTTGTATACTATTATGTATACCTTTCAATGTCCTATGTAAACTGTTTTCCTCTATTTGCAATAAAGTTTTTTTTTTAAGTACACAGTAGGCTATAGGTCAGAGTTCGCGCAGGTAGACAAGTAGGCCACATACACCTGCTTTTTTTCCGGACAGTTGCTTTAAAACAATTAATTTAACAAGAAATGCTTCTGAAATAAATTGCTTACACCCGCGTTGATTAACCCCAATGTGAGGAGGCACGACCATCCAGCCTATATATTACTTTTTAATGTCACATTATTGAATCTGTGTTGAAAACAGCTTCTGGACTATAAAGTATATAAAAAAAAAATTAACTTCAGCTCTGTGATGTGATTGGCTGTCGGAGCTGTCAGTCACGGTGCCCTTGCCACCTACTTCCGCACTGTTTCAGAGGCGGTGTACTCTTCGATTGTTTGTGTTACTGGAGCGTTCATTTGGCCGCAATTCACAGGTATGATTACACGGATTGTGTTTCAATCTTAGTGTCGGTGTTTGTGTTAATAACGTTAGCTAATCTCCGTTGACCATCTCCCAGCTAACGGTTTAACTCCTGTGTAGCAGCGATGCTAACGGCTAGTTAGCTAGTCCGCTAGCTGAATAATAGCAGAGGCTCTTTGGGAAAGAGAGCTTGTAACAGCAGAAAGCTGCTTTTTAATTCATAGCATGTACTAGGTATTGTTTGGCTTTAACGACTACAGCAAGTTGCCGTGCTTGGTGTAACGAGTCCGTGCTGTTGCAGGTTGTGTGTTTGGCTGTCTGTGATGCTTGGAGAGAGGCTGGGCTGCAGGGACAGGCCGATGGTGGAGACATGACTTCTGAGTAACGCATAGTTACTTTCTCTGCTCAGTATGAACAGCGAGGAAGAGTTTTACGACGCTGAGACAGGTGAGACAAGCGGACAGAAGGTCTCCTTTTAGTAAAAATATATTGCTTCTTGTCTCGAAATGACTGAACACGTCTTTCCGATCTTCCCCTCACCGTCTTGTCTTCATCAGGACTGGAGTCAGATGATTCCTGTGAGGTCAGTTTTAAAGATGCCCTAGTGTTTGACAGTAAGCCGGTGACTGATGGCAGTGCCACACATGAGAATGGGGTGTGGGAGCGCAGGTAAGGAGTCACACAGGAGTGTGGTATGCATGTCTTTAATGCATGTCCACAGAGACCTGACAAGCCAGAGCAACCACATTTTTATGTTATGTTGGCAAGCGCCTCCTCAGTAGAGTATTTGGAGTTACTGCCTTGTTGTAGTACAATGTGTTGTCAGTTTTTGTGCTTAGGAGCCAGCTGTTAACAGATACACTGTCAAAAATTTTGTCTCATTTCCCATCTTCTTTTTTTCCTTTTACATCTTACTTCGTCCAAATGTGTGCCAGGAAAACTCTGCCTGCTGAAATGATCTCCCGGAACGATTACAGTGTTTGGAGTATACTAAAGAAATGCATCGGCATGGTGAGTCCTGTCTGCTTCCTAACCAAACTAAGAGAAGAGATAGCAATGAAAGGCTCATTCTTTATGATGAGTTGTTCGGGTAAGGTGTTTTCAGCAGTGTGCCATACTTTGTTATCTGATCTGGTATAAAGCTGGCCTCTGTGTGTTCCTGCTCATTATTTATCTACTCTGTTCTGATCTCTTTTTATGTGCTCTTGCAGGAGCTGTCTAAAATTGCGATGCCAGTTGTGTTTAACGAGCCGCTGAGCTTTCTCCAGAGAATGTCAGAGTACATGGAGCACACTCACCTCATTCACAAAGCCTGCAGTTTGCCTGACTCAATAGACCGCATGCAGGTAGAGATAACCGATGATTCAGAAGCATTGAACCACACCTGAACAAACAAACATAACAGATCTTACTCTGATTTACAGCTGCACCTAACACTTATCTTTATCAGTTCATCTATTATTTATTTTCTTTATTAATCCTTTTGGCCGTTTGTTCCTTTAAAATTGAGAAACTTTTAAAAATGATCCATATAATATGGATATTATAATAATAATAATAATAATAATAATAATAAATAATAATAATCTTAAATAGCACTCACTTTTCAAGTTACAAAGTGCTTTCACAAAGACAATAAAACACACAAAACAAGTTAGAACGAGAACGATGCTTTAAAAAAGATTTAAATTATACTTTTTTTTTTTTTTTGTCAGTCGATTAACTGATTATTTGATGCTGCTCTGATTTACTTCATGTCTCTGTGACAGGTTGTGGCTGCGTTTGCTGTTTCGGCTGTAGCATCTCAATGGGAAAGGACTGGAAAGCCATTTAACCCTTTACTGGGGGAGACATTTGAACTCGTAAGGTATTGGAGAAGCCTGCAGAAGCTAGAACAGTTTATCTTAATGACAGACGTACAGAGATGAACAAAAAAGTTGTTTTTTTATTCCTTTTGTGCGAGTTTTCAAATGTTTTTTATTTGTTTTTTTTTTAAAGAGAGGACGAGGGCTACAGATTGATCTCCGAGCAGGTGAGCCACCACCCCCCTGTCAGTGCCTTCCACGCCCAGTCTCTGAAGCAGGAGTTTGAGTTTCACGGTTCCATCTACCCGAAACTCAAGTTCTGGGGGAAAAGTGTGGAGGCTGAGCCCAAAGGTACCATGACCCTGGAGCTACTGAAGTGAGTAACTGTGTGAACATGCTCACAAACTTGTTTTATCTTTCTTGTGCTTTTAGCTGCATTTGATTGTTTTAATTAGTTATTACTAATTTGTGTGGGCTTCTAAGTAAGTGGCTTTTTTTTGCTCAATCTGTTATATACACTAAAAACTCTAGATAAACTTAACTTTGTATGAAAATGTTAAAATTCAAGCGGCCATGATGCCAAGTAATCTTTTAATAAGTAGTTTAACGTTTTAGGAAACTAATTTGCTTTCTTGCTGATCATTAGATAAGAATATTGATTCCACCCTCGTACTGTTTCTGTCCATTACATGTACCCCTTTACGAGACGTGCGGTTGGTTCTGAGTCTATTCACTCCAATGGATTATGGCACAGATTCTTTTGTCTAGTAGTCACCAGTTTAATATTAGACACATTTATCACAAGCCACATATCTTCTGAACATTTGGACACTAAAATATCATTTTTCACACTGACAAATCAGGAGAAAATAAACTTTGTTTGAGACCTCTCTCTCAGGAACACAGTCTCGCAAGTTCTTGCAACACATCACTCTGTTGGCAGAGGTGGTTCAGAGAGTTGTCAGCTATAAGTTATATTAAAGTTTGTTATCTAACGACCTACATCACGCACACACAACTTAATATGTTCATTTATTCACAACACTTCTCCACAATGTGGGGAGAGAGGCGACTTCTCAAGTTCAAGGTTAAGTTTATTTATATAGCACATTTAAAAACAACCCTCGTTGACCAAAGTGCTTTCCAGGTTTAGTATACACAACAACAAAGAAGGCCAATGAAAAGAGATGGGTCTTTAGCAAGGATTTTAAAGTGTCAGTAGTTCGGGCAAGATAACAGATAAACAGAGTATTCCAAAGTATTCCAAAGATTAGGAGCAGCTACTGAAAGGGCTTGGTTACCTTTAGTCTTTTACCTGGATCTGGGGACATCATCTCATCTAACTCTCTGCTAGGAAGTGAATATGTGTTTATCAAATGTTGAATTATGCCTTGTAAAATTCTGGCAATTTGTTACAGACATAAAGAAGTATACACATGGACAAACCCGATGTGTTGCGTGCATAACATCATCTTAGGAAAACTCTGGATTGAGCAATATGGGACCGTGGAGATAGTCAACCATAGGTATGGTGACAAATACTTAACAAGATTTACGTTGGTTGGACAAGTGATTATCAATTTGACATATTTGTTTTGAATTGAATTCATCAGCACGGGAGATAAGTGTGTGTTGAACTTCAAACCGTGTGGCATGTTTGGGAAGGAGCTGCACAAAGTAGAAGGTCATATCCAAGACAAAAGGTAAGAGCGTGAGCTCACCGACGCTGATAATAACCAGTGGGTGTGATTCTCTGAACTGAATTTAATGTGTTTGCCGTTGAACCAGTAAGAAAAAGCTGCGAGTGCTCTATGGAAAGTGGACAGAGTGCATGTACAGCGTGGATCCCAAGGTTTACGAAGTGAACAAGAAGTCAGAGAAGAAGACGGGGGCTGACTCAAAAAAGCCGAAACAGGTGAGATGAGTGAGGCTCAGATTTACAGCATATTCTGCTTTGACTGAAATCTAGTGAGCAAACTAGATGTCTGATCTCCCACTGAGATGAAATACTGCTTAGAGTTTGTTGTCACGTTTGTCTTTGACGTGTTTTATCTGTCTTACAACGTGAAGTCATCTGTGAATTTTACTCATCACTCTGAATTTGTTTCTCAAATGGTATCTTTTCCTTTCACAATAACATGCAGTGGCATTAGTAGAAGGTAAGGTAAAAGTGTATTTGATATCTGTAGTGTGCTACTGCTGTTGTCTAGTTCAAGTTATGTTCAAAGTGTAGTGTATGATTAGATCATTGCCAGCACTAATCCATAATGTCTTGCAATGACATGCATTGTTGCTTGAGAGACGTGTTGAATTTGTGGCAACCGTAGTTCTGTGAATCACCTGTTTGCACAAGTACTGTACGCACGATAAGCTTTAGCTTGGTTAGTCCATGTCTGATAACATTATGTGTGTTTGTGTGTGTGTGTGTAGGAACAAACTTGTGAAGGTGAGGAGGCCGACGATATGCCAGAAGTCCAAGAGACTGTGACTGTGATACCAGGAAGTGCCTTACTGTGGAAGATAGCGCCACGGCCTGCTCACTCAGTACAGGTCAGTATCACACTCATACACACACACTGACAAAATGTGTTTTTGTCCAGCTGATTTTTATTTTATATTTTAAACACACAGTATGTAAGTCCTGCCGGTACAATAACAAAATATGTAGTTTGATGATGTCGTGTAGTAGCATAAGATCATGGGAGTTTCCCCCGGAGGTTATTGCAACAGGCGACCAAATTAAACGCATTACACATTATGGATTTCTCTCTGAACATTGTTGGAAACATTTGTGATAATGTAAGCCACAAAACTTATCAAAATATATAACCTAGGCATTTAATGAGGAAATATTAGATATTATACTTTTTAAAATCCTGCATTGTTGCTTCGTAATGCATTGTACGTTACGCAACACAACGTGTATTATGTTCAGTGGTGGAGGAAGTATTCAGATCTTTTACTTAAGTAAAAGTACTAACACACCGTAAAAATACTCTGTTACAAGTAAGCGGTCCCGTCTTGTTAAGTAAAAGTACAACAGGAAGTAAAAGTAATCAATTCAGTAAAATGTCCCCTCTGGTTATACTATTATATATTATGTCATTAGATTATTGTATAGGCAGAGAAAGTTATTTATGACCTATCTCAAATAATTGTAGCGAAATAAAATATGTCCCTCTGTGTGGAGGTATAAAGTGACATGAAAAGAAAAGACTACTTGCAAAGTTACTTTCCACCGCTGATTGTGTCTGTGCGATACAAATTCAACGGGGCTCCACTGATTAAAACACTGCTCTGTAGCATTCCCTGTGGTCAAAAACTCCACACAGTGCCTTTAACTAAGGGTGTGACAGCTAAGAGTTGGGAGGCAGTTGTGGTTTTGAGAAATACTACTTTGTATTTTGTAATGTGGTGACTTAGTTGCAGTCCGCTAGGTTTCTAGTTCCCTAGTTTTGTTTTTATCTGCCCAGAGTTTGAGTTATCTGTCTGAGATTTCTGCCTCCAGCCCGTTCAGCAGAGGTAAAAGGGATTTTGTTTGTCATGCTCACAGCCTTGAAAAGTTGAATTTTACATTCAGCCTTGACAAACCTCATTTGAAAACGTGTGTGTCAACTTTTACTAACAAAAAGTCACTTCCCTCCTGTTGAAGTGGAGTCAGAGACAGCTATATAAAATCCAAAACTATCCTCAGGATTCGATACCACTAGAGTAATGAGAAATTGTGTTTTTATAATTTGAGTGAACCAACCCTTTAAATCAAGAGTAGGTATCAACTTTCTTTTCCTTTTTGTTTTGTTTTTTAAATGTGTTTTGGGACAGAGATTTATAAAAGGCAGAGTTTTGTTTTTCCATCATGTCACACAAAAGTAGTTAAATATATTAAGATTAATTGCATTAGCATTAACAAAGATGTTTTTGTCACTAACCTCTGCCGTGTTTCCTTCTGTTTAGATGTATAACTTCACGAGCTTCGCCATGACACTAAACGAGCTTGAGCCAGGCATGGAGAGAATACTGGCACCAACAGACTGCCGGCTGAGGCCCGACATCAGAGCCATGGAAAATGGAGACATAGGTAACACCAACCACACATAAACACAAGGGTTTGGACTTTTACATAAGCTCAGAGAGGCTAAAACTGTTCCTTCCACACACACGACTACATTAGCACGATCATCTGTAACTTCCTCTTCACTCATATTTTTGTGTTTTCTAGACACAGCGAGTACAGAGAAAGAGCGGTTAGAGGAGAAACAAAGGGCCTCGCGCAGGGAACGCTCTAAGGATGAGGAGGACTGGAAAACCAGGTGTGTGTTTGTGAGGTTGTTTAAATGTGTAAAAGAGCTGGCACATAAATCCCCTCTAAGACATGCACCTTGTTACATAAATGTGATGCCGATTTAACATGCCGGTTGGGGAAAAAAAACACTTGAGTCCCTTTTTTACATTAAAGTCTAGAAGCATTTCTGCAACATTAGTTTAACTGGATGCTGTCTGATTAATTTAAATGTTAGATACACAGAGAGAAAGTCAATAAAATAAGTTTAATAAACCACAAAGACTCTAGAGCCTATTTCAAGTTCGTAAGGAGATTGTTTCATGTCAGATCAGTCTGTAATACGTTTTCCTCTCGTGGTGTGTGGAAAAACAGTTACATTTTTGAAATCTTCACTCATGCCAACAGTACGGATGAATGAACGACTATCCAGCAAAATCCAAAATATGCAGCATGTGAGCAAATACGAATTAAACGAGCCACAACTAAGAAGATAAAATAGTTGCCGTCCTGATCACTTTCCAGAATTGTAAAATCCAGTATTTTAAACCGTTGTGGAGTGTTTTGACGTCTGATAAGCTTTTAAATGCATGAATCTGGACATTTCAGGATCATATTTAATTGTCTCACTGGTAACATTAAAAGTATGCGTCTACCACAAACACCACTCATTTCAGCTTTTTTTTTCCCCCCTCTAAACAGCTGGTCAGTCTTTGTTTGAGGGTAGTGGTATGTTAAAACACAGACAGCAGAATTCACTCCCCCAAAAAGTTTTTAATAAGAAACAGATGATGTATTAGAGGAACCACAGAATTAATGATAGGGTAGGCAACATTGGAAAAACTAGCATGGTTTTGAATTTCAACAAATATATACCAAAAATGCTTCTGAAATAAATTGCCTACCCCAGCTTTAATGTAAGAAAAACATTAAGACAAGTTTTAAAATCCATCAGTGATGCAGAGACCGGAAGACATTCTTCTTTCTTCATGTTATTACTCTTAAGCTCACCACTGTTCTCTGCAGCGACACACTCTCTCTTGTGAAACCATTGGCAAATATCACGCAAGCATTTCTCGTTTCTCTTTCTATAAATATCCTGTCGTGTGAGTAATGTAAAACTCACATCGATGAAGCCAGCCATGTCTGAAAAGGGCTCATGAGCATCTACCAATTCCTGATTCTCTGCTGTCTTAAATTCGTAGAATAAAATAATTACACTACACTTCTCACCATCTCATCAAAGTTTAACTGGAATGAAAATAGTTGGCTTCACAGCCGTGTCTCTTGATGGTGCCAAGGCTCTTACTCACACTTTACCAGCTGAATGCAGCAAAAGCTCTTCATGTTCCAGTGACTGTACACAGCTCATTTTATGTAACATTTCCTTTTAACCCTGCAATTATAAACAGGTTCTGTTTTTAATGTGTCTTCAGGTGGTTTCAGCTGGGAATAAACCCTCATACAGGAGCTGAGGATTGGCTGTACGCAGGTGGATACTTTGACAGGATTTACACTGACTGTCCCAACATTTATTGACACAGACGTGCGCTGTGAGAAGATCTCCCCTCTGATAGGATTCACTTTATTTCTCAGCATCTAAGATTTGTGTCTTTGTGACTTCCAGACGCTCACTGGTACTGTGTCTTTTGTGTGAATCAATGAAGAGCAGATTTCAAAAAACAGTTTATCAGATTATGACTGTGAACCTTGTCCACGCGAGAAATGTTATATTAAGAACATTTTTTGTAGAGTTTACTCACAGTAATTGTTGACATGAAACATCTCCATCTTTATATGCCCTAATCATGATTGTGACAATAATAGTCCACATATATGTTAATCACCTGTCGAGGGTTTTAAAACAGTCACCTGACCATGCTGCTGCTGCTGCTGCTGCTGCTGCTGCTGCAGGACACAAATCTCTGACTTCTAGAGGATAAATTGTCAGTTTTAGTTCAGGTACTCAACCATAATCTTAGCTGTAGACAAACCACACACTTATGTATAGTTGCATCCAAATATCAGGGGTTATTTAAACACATCTCTTACTTTTATATGTAATAAAAGTAAATTATAGTATAATTTGAATATTAGATGTCTATTTTAGTTAGCTGTAAACATCCCTAAAAAGTCATAATTTTCTATGAATAGAGACTGGCAATAGAGATGAAAGCTGTTTATAACCATGTTTACTGGCACAGTAAACGGATATTGTTTGGTACATTATATTGTTGTCCACTGTAACATACTAGATAATGTGTATAATAATTGGTGCATGCATGGTCACCAAGGTGATTATTTACACAAGTTAAAGCCATAAAAACCTTCTCTGCACTAAGTTTAATAGTGTAAAAGCATTCACATAAAACGTTAGAGCAAAGGGACACAGAGCATAATGGTGGTTTTCAAGGTCTGATACTATAAGAGCCATGTTGATGGGACATCCTGAGCCTTAGTACAGTCAAAACAACAATAATCCTTTTATCCTTTGTATTACTTCCATTTGAGGTGTAATCCTGCTCTAAGTTTTGGAACTACAGATCACATAATTGAGAGGAGGTAAACAGGAAGTAGAATCTTGCCATGCAGTCAGTTAGCTAATTAACTGTAGGCTACAACTTGATCCTCATTCTTTTTAGCTTGTATTTGTTTACATTTTGGCAAATTGGCACCATTTAAAAGTGTTCCGAATTAGCTATTAGCAGGTCCTGTTTGCAATGTACCCAAGCATGTACGGACAACTATCACTGGATTACTTTGATATTGACGACAATTTAAAAATGTGATGTTTCTCAGGCAAGTTCTGGAGTTGTAAGAACTGTCTTTAGTATGGGACTTCTAAACAGGTTTGTTTGCAAGATAAAGATTACCCCCGAGAAGTGTAAGCCACATTGAAACAAAAAATATGTGTTATATGTTTTTGACTGAGTAATGACTCCGAGAAGAAGTTGGAATTGTGAGGCAAATTGTGGCTCACGTCTCTCTCTCCGCCTCACAGCTCGAAAACCTCCGGCTTAAAGAGAAGGCTGTGTCATACCGACTCCTGATCATAGCCATTTGTCTTCACACATGGACAAGTAACTCTGAATGTTCAGAGTTTCCAGTTTGATGCCTTGAGTCATTTTTCCATGCCTTGAGTCATTTTTCCATCAATCAAAGCTTTTGTTTTCGGACACGGCAGCAGCACATAAAACAGGGCATGGTAGCCGTCATAAACCTATGCAAACTGCTCCACCCAGTCTGTCCTTCTGAAATGTGAAACAAAGATAAAACACTCCTCTTTAGCTTCTAGCCAATGTGTGCTTCAGACACTACAGAGGCAGGTAATGAATGTTGTGTGCTGTTAATATAACTCTTACATAGATAACATGCATACAGCAGTGCGGGTTGTTAGCCAGTAGAGAGATGTTACTTTTTGTTTCCACGCACTAACCTTGAATAAACTGCACATTTGAATGCTCACAGTCCAATGCACATATTGTCTCGTGAAATATCCTACATCATGTCTTCTCCCATCTGCTCTTTACTTTACTCTGAATTTAAAGCACTTTGAGAGGCCAGCAGACACTCAAAGGTGCAGGTTTGGTCTGATGGTTCTCCTGATCTCATACTCTTTACCCTCTTGTTTGTCTAGCATCTATTTGAAAATGTTTACATTGTATGTTCATTGATCTCTTGTTTCCTCCTCATACTGTTATCCACACACAACCATATGCATTCATGGCATATTTGAGAAATAAATTATGGACTATTAAAACTACCAGCCCTGTCAGTGTTTGCCAATCAAGATTTTTCTTTCAGTAAATCAGTTTCACACTTTATACCATCTTGTGACACCAGTGTGTGTTATAAAAACCAGTGGTTCCAAACAGAGGGGTCACAAGATGATTTAAAGGATAGGAATGAAAACAAAACATGTTTCTGCTACACAACATAATTTTTTTCTAATCTTAGTCTGGATGCCTTTAAAATGATACAAAAGAGACAATCTGAGTGGGGAAAACTACTTGTGACTTGATGACATAATGCTACATTTAATTTTACATAACGTAAAACGATTGGGAACCTGTGGTGTATAAAACCATAAGGTCTCTACTGTAAAGAAAAAAAAAATCAACTGTAATTTAGCCTAAAACTGTAGAGTCAAAATTTATTTCCACATCAAGGCAGGATTACCAACCGGCAAAGTGGGAAAGTTCCCACAGACCACCATGCATTTGATAATTAGTTTGTGGACATTTGATGAATTCTATCTTTGTTTGGGAATATCAACTGACATGATACAGGCTTAATAGTGGATTCTGCTTTATTGCCTGATCTTTTCTGAAATGAGAAGGCCCATTGTGTCAAGGGCTAGTTATAAGACCCTCATTATTTCAGCTGATTTTCTGCTTACATTATGCATAATCCTTCATTTCTGGGATCATGTAATGTCACAATAGAAAAATTTTACAAAATCCACAAAGATGGGGAAGAAGTGGGAGTTAAACTGAAATGTTACCACTTAAATGATTGTGACATCGTCAACATTTTCTTAAAAGTCTGAGTTTATGTCCAAAATAAACATATTTTCATAACCCTCTGCTGCACTTTGTGTTTAGTGGTAAAAATGTCAACATGCCAAACCAAGATAGTGAGCGTTACCTGCTATACATTAGCATTTTTGCATGTCAACATTAGTATTGGCATTTTGCTTTATCTTTTTCCTTTCTATCCTCAGTGAGAAAATCTCCCCTCTGATAGGAATCATTTGCAACAATGACCAACAACATTCAATGTCTATGTACAGGTACAGTGTTTCTGTAAATTGTGGAAGATAAGTGGTCATACAGTCCAATTAGCCAAAATGGATTTTTCACAATTTGGAATAAGTTGTTTCTTATTAATAGCTTATTTAAATGAATAAAGCCATTAATTAGGTCTCATAAACCCTTTATAAAGGATGTCTAATAAGAAAATAGTACTAAATACCATCTCCTTAAACGTGTATTTTAAATATATCTATATATCTTTTAAAGCACTGAACATACAGGCAGTGTGGTGTCATCTCAACCGAACATGCGCAGTGGCTTTAAAGCCCTCATTATTGGCACACGGTTCGACCAATCATAGTGAAGCACCCGCTGCAGCCAGCCAATCACGATCATCCTCAGTGAGCTTGACCGTTCTCCGGCTGAACGACAATTCAGTGAGAACATGTAAGTATAAACATGTTGTTTTAAAATGTGTTTTGAATTGGTAACATAGAAAACAGGTGTGTGTTTAGTCCACGTGTATGAAATGTGAACCTGCAGCTGAGTCGTGACCACATTAAGATGAAAACACGCTGCTGGCTGCAGGATGCACAGTCATCTGGTGGCTACTGTGGCTGCTCCAGTAGCTGTTTTATTATGGGAGCACTGGGAAGAGTTATGTTCCAGTCCTGTTTTCAATCTCAAATCTTTTATCATATTATTATTATGATTATTATTAACATATTATTATGTGGTCAGTTTATTTTCATGACAGTATAGGAGAGTGATGAGAGGCAATAACAAAATAATTGCTATACATTAAATAGGCTAGAAACATGAACGTGTAGACAAAAATTACCATTTCAATCATTCATGAATTAATCAAGTGCTGGATAACATGTTCATTAGCAGCAACACAGCAGGAAAAGACAACCATATCTCCTGCAGTGTAATATCTTGGACCAAAGCTGCTCTGTGTCCAGCTGACCTCTTCCTCCTTTCTGTCCTTTGCAGCAGTCTTTCCTTCTCATCATGGCGTCTGGAGCTCTGTTCCCCAGCATGGTGTCTGGGTCTCGCGGCTCCTCCAGCAAGTACCTGGTGGAGTTTCGGGCCGGTAAGATGACGATGAAGGGTAGCACAGTGACCCCTGACAAGCGCAAAGGTCAGGTCTACATCCAGCAGACCGACGACTCCCTCATCCACTTCTGCTGGAAGGATCGGACCACCGGGAACGTGGATGATGTAAGTGACAGTGTCTGCGTGTAATAGTGACTTGACCTGTGTTTCAGCCTTTAAAATTAACCCCTTTTCATGTCCTGATTTAGGATCTGATCATCTTTCCTGATGACTGTGAGTTCAAACGGGTGAACCAGTGCACCACCGGACGGGTCTATGTGTTGAAGTTCAAAGCTGGTTCCAAAAGACTCTTCTTCTGGATGCAGGTATGCAGCTGGACGGTCTGCTCCACACACTTCAGTGTTCATGAAGCTTTGGTTTTCACTTGACACAAGACACAATACATTTACAAGAAATAAATCTATAGTGAGTGTAATGGCACTGGTGCATATACTGCAATTATATTCTTTCCACATTTAGTTTTTTATTCAAATATAAATTTAAATTCTTGGGAAAAAATCCCTTTAGGTATCTAGGAAAGATATACATTAGTGTCCCTGTGGGCTGTTTTCAGCAAGGCAAGTTTATTTGTATGGCACATTTGAACAAGGTGATTCAAAGTGCTTTAAATAAAAGAAAAGCAAAATAGGTCAATATAAATATACATTTAAATACAGTTAAAATGACTTAAATAGAAAATAAGAACAAGATAAAACAGGAGGGTAAAAGTTACAGTGCAGTGTAAGATATTAATCAAAAGTCTTATTAAAGGGCAGCAGCAGTTTTAGATGGAGCATAAAAAATGAACAATGCTTCTTTATGTTCAGTTTTAATTATAGTGACAGGCCTGTCCCAGATGACCTGAGAGGTCTGGATGGTTCATAGTGTAAGTAAATAAAAGTTAATTTAATATAGCACCTTTCACAGCTCAAGGTCACAAAGTGCTTTACAAGAGTAAAATATTAGATATAAGACCATCAAAAAAGTAAAGAAATAATAATAATAAATAATAATCAGACAATCAAACATAAGCGATAAGGGAACATTGAACAAACATGATTGCACACTTTAGACAGCACATGGCGAGACAAAGGCCAGCTTAAAATAAAAGAGCCCTCAGTTGTCTCCTATAGGCATCAACAGAGACGACAGCGAGGAACGACCAGTAATAGTGTGTTCCATTTGACATGGGAAGTCAGAATTTCCAAGTTCCATGTCAGAAATCTCAACAGGAAGTTAAGTCAGATCTTCAGATCAAATCTTAAGTCAGATTTCCGACTCAGAAAGTCAGGAGAACATCACCAAACCCAACCTCAAAATCCAAGATGGCTGCTACTGGAATCAGTAGTGAAAGCTATAGTAATATACTGTTTATCGCACTTCTGTTTTATTTGTGTCTCATTACATCTGTCATACACACAGTCCTGTCCAACTTATATCTGTAGACATGTTGCTACGGTGTTTCTGTGTGCAAAATATTGCGTAAAGCTGATATTGCTAACTATGGCCAGAGGCTTCATTCATGGTTTTCTGACTTAAATCTGTTGTTCTACTGGAACTCCGTCAACTTGGCTGTGAAGTCATTCTCAGCTCCGACCTTCGACTTCCGAGGTAAACGAAACGCACCATAAGCCCTGGTTAGAAGACCTAAGTGACCAGGTGGTGATATAGAGGTGAAATAGGTTAGAGATGTACCCAGGTGCCTGACCATGCAGGGCTCTATTTGTGAAAATGAGAACATTAAACTGAATCCTGGACCTGAAGTGTAGCAGAAGATCAGAAATGAAACCATTCAGTGCATTATAAGCCAACAGCAGTATTTTGAAATCAATTCTTTGACAAACAGGAAGCCAGTGTAAAGACCTCAGAACTGGAGCGATGTGATCCACTTTTTTTGGTTTTAGTGAGGACTTGAGCAGCAGCAGCGCTGCGATTATTTTGTAATTTATTTGTGCAACTGGATATTGGACTTCCTCAGACGCCAGTCTGTTCGGATTGGCGACCACACCTCCTCCACTCTAGTGCTCAACACCGGAGCCT